GCCGGCCCGGGCCGGCCCCCCCCCGGACCCGCGCCTCCCCGTGGACAGCGTGGGACCCTGACCCAGAATCTTTTTTTTTTGTCCTTTTTGAGACCGGTCGCACCGCGCTCAGCCAGTGAGCTGGAACCGGTCTGTATGTGGGATCCGAACCCTCGGGCGGGAGCGTCGCCGCGCTTCCCAAGCGGCGCACTTATCCAGTGCACCACCGGGCCGGCCCAATCAATCTTGATTGATGAAGTGAATTCAGAAGTTAAGATTCTGGATCAGGGGCCGAGCCCGTGGCGCACTCAGGAGAGTGCAGCGCTGGGAGCGCAGCAGCACTCCCGCCCCGGGTTCAGATCCTATATAGAGATGACTGGTGCACTCACAGCGCTCACTGGCTGAGCGCGGTGCGACCGGTCTCAAAAAGGACAAAAAAAAAAGATTCTGGGTCAGGGTCCCACGCTGTCCACGGGGAGGCGCGTGTCCGTGTGCGAGCCAGCCCGGACCAGCGCAGGCTTTATAAGTCATGCTCCTTTTTGCTCAGTAACTTAATCTCAAAGGAGACACATAAAAAAAAGTTATAACTTCCGGTCAAGATGGCGGAATAGAGGGTCCCTAGCGTCACTCTCTCTCACAAATCAACCGATTTAAACTATAAAAACATAACATCAAGTGCATATGGAACAGGGAGACATCCAGCAGGGGAGGCAGAAGCTCCACAGAGACCACATGCCCTGCGGGGCCACCGTCGCACGATCTAGCAGAGAGGCTTCACTGCCGCCACCCGGCTCCATTCCCAGCCCAGCCGAGTGAACAGAGAGTGGGGAGATGTCCAGCAGGGGAGGCGCAGGCTCCGCAGAAACCACACACCCTCTGGAGCCGCCACTGCATGATCCAGCAGGGAGGGTTCATCGCAGGCACCCGGCTCCATTCCCAGCCCGGCCTAGTGCGCTTGGAGCAGGGAGACGTCCGGCAGGAGAAGCGGGAACTCCACGGGGACCACACTGCTGCCGCGCAATCCAGCAGCCTGGCCCAATGCGTACGGAGCACAGAGACATTCAGGAGGGGAGATAGAAGCTCCATAGAGTCCACACACCCTGTGGGGGGGCAGCCACCACGCAATCCAGCAGCAGGTAGGCTTCACCGCCGCCACCCAGCTCCATCCCAAGCCCAGCCTAGCGCGCACAGAGCAGGGAGACTTCCTGCAGGGGAAGGGGAAGCTCTGCAGAGACCACACGCTCTGGGGTGCCTCGGCGCATCCCAGCAGCCCAGGCCAGAGTGCACGTAATTATCCCATGTATTTTCTCAGACCACAATGGATTAAAACTAGAAATCAATAACAAACGAAACTCTGGAAACTATACAATAATAAATCTCAAGCTCTAGATCCTATAGAACAAGAAGCCCTTGAAATGACTGACAAGGAATTTCGAGTGATAATTCTAAGGAAACTGAATGAGATACAAGAAAACTCAGCTAGACAGCATGATGAAACGAGGAAAAGTATACAGGACCTGAAAGAGGAAATGTACAAGAAAATGAATGTCCTGAAAAAAAATGTAGAACTTGCCGAACTGTAAAAGTTATTCAGCAAAATAAAAAAACACAATGGAGAGTTTAACCAGCAGGCTTGCGGAAGTTGAAGAGAGAACCTCTGAACTTCAAAATGGGCTGTTTGAAATAACACAAGCAGACAAAAAAAAAGAAATAAAGAATCAAAGGCATTGAAGAAAATCTGAGAGAGATATCAGACAACCTTAAGAGCTCAAATATCGGAGTCATGGGTATTCCAGAAGGGGAGGAAAAAGGAGAGTACATTGAAAACGTATTCAACGAAATAGTGGCAGAAAACTTCCCAGGTATAGGAAAAATCACAGATCTTCAGATCCAGGAAGCTCAACGATCTCCAAACATATTCAACCCAAAAAGGTCTTTCCAAGACATGTTGTAGTCAAATTGGCAAAACTCAAAGACAAAGAGAGAATCTTAAGAGCTACAAGAGAGAAGCGTCGAATCACCTATAAGGGAGCCCCAATCAGGCTAACATCAGACATTTCATAACAAACCCAAAAAGCCAGAAATGAATGGGATGATATATTCAAAATACTAAAAGACAGAGATTGTCAGTCAAGAATACTCTACC